AGAAAGATGATGGACTGCAGAGGGAATGAAAGGAAGGGATAGAGAAGGAAGAGTCAGTCTTCCCTGAAGTTTCACAAAACCAAAGAATCACTGCTGAGTAATTTTATGCTAACAGGAAGATCCCGATTTTTATTCAATAACACTTTCAAGGAAATTTCTTTCACAAAATGAAAGTGACTGATTAAGACATTCTGAACAACGAGTCAAGTAACTTCAAGATTCGCTTAACAAGTAAAAGTGAAAAGGAATATATAGGCTTTGATTTTCTGTTATTATTCTAAAAGCAGTATTCAACTTTCAGTGCCAATCGAAAATGTTCAAATGTCTAAAAATTCTCATAAAAATAATCTTCCAAATGGAATCAGTAACAAATTCTTTAAAACCAGGACTCTACATTAGTGGTAACTGTGTCTACTACTTAAATAATAACTTTAAAGAAAACAGCCCACCCCGAAACTCATTTCTAACATTTCAATTCTTATTAAAAAAAATAGAGAGCCAGGCGTGGTGGCCCATGCCTGTAATCCTAGCACTTTGGGAGGCTGGGGCAGGTGAATCACCTGAAGTAAGCAGTTCAAGACCAGCCTGACCAACATGGTGAAACCCTGTCTCTACTAAAAGTACAAAACATTTAGCAAGGCATGGTGGCATGTGCCTGTAGTCCCAGCTACTCGGGAGGCTGAGGCAGGAGAATAGCTTGAACCCGGGCGGTGGAGGTTGCAGTGAGCCGAGATGGTGCCACTGCACTCCAGCCAGGGCAACATAATAAGACTCAGTCTCAAAAAAAAAAAAAAAAAAAAATTTAATTTATAACTCTTTGGGAAAAATAATTAGACTTTGGGCACATGTTGTCAACATTCATTATCTGGGTACATTTAAATTTTATAATGAAAGCAAATGTTTGCAAAAAGCATAGTGTGCAAATTCCCAGTGGGAACTGCTTTCCAAGAGTTAGCTTCATACTACTCACATAACTGTCAAACTGATCTACTGAACACTTTTTTTATGTGTCTGCAACATTTTTGGAGGGAGGAAATACTCCAATGAAAAAAAAATGACTAGATCTGTTTAAAATCAGTTCTGCAACTCAGTTGCTCTGTAACGTGGGCCAAGTTAAGTTCCTTCTTTCTTATTTTCTCCATTTGTTTTAGTGTCTGCCACCCATCTACCTACATCATATAGAAGTCAGAGTAATTAACACTTGTTTGATACACCGTATAAACGACTTGAAAGAAAAGTTTTATATACACCCAATTCGAATTTTCACTCTCCCAACAAAAGGCAAAATATGTCTCTTCTCAACATCTCTGTCACTGACCAAAGTTATCATTTTTCATCAATTCGTTAACAAATATTTACTGAGCACCTATTACATGCGAAGGACTATTCTAAAAACTGGGGATATGAGAGTGAGCAAAACAAATTCATGGCCCTTACATGTAGAAAGAGAATACAACTAGTAAGAGAAAAACAAAATAAAAAATTGCGTTGCAAGTTGGATGGTTATATGAAGACGGATAAAGCAGGGAAGGCAAATACCAAATAGTGGGAACGGCAATTAGGTCTTCAGAAACAAATTCCCTGAGAACGCAGCATCTGAGCAAAGATCTGGAAGGACAGTTAGAGCGCTTCGAGCGAAGGGAACAAAAGCAGGTGGAAAGGCCTTGAACTGAACTCATTGTAGAGTAGTGGAGGAACAGCAAGGAAGCTTGTGAAGCTGGAATGGGCAGGGGAAAGGTGGTAAATGAAATCAGGGCGGGAAAAAGTGAAAAGTCTTGTAGGCTGTTGCAGGGGCATTGACTTTTTATTCTGGGTGAGAGAGGAAGTCTTTGGGAGGTATTAAGCAGAGAAATGACATCAGTGACTTTTTAAAGAAGGTTTAAGAACACTAAAAATAATGTGTCTGAAGAAAGCTAAAGTAAGGCAAAAATATTTCTAAGAATCTAAAATGAAAAACGTGGAAAACAACGAATGGGCCGTATTCGACATCCCTAGCTGCTCAAAGGATGCTGACGACAAGAACCAGCTGTGACAGATGAACACATTCAAAGCCAAGCAAATTTCCGTAATGTTCACAGTCCTTGCCAGTGGGAAAAGCAGTGACTTTTCAACAAAATCACTCGGATGGTCGGATGCACCTCGAAATTCCTCCATTTGACAGACCACGTGTTAACTTCTAAGAAAGTAGGTGGGGCCCGGGGTGTCACCTCATCTTAAAACATGCGGAAACCAAGAAAAGAAAAGGCTCTCCCGTGAAGTCCACGGAGCTGCCCAGCTGAGCGCAGGCTTTCCAGATTCCCGGCTCCAGCACGAACTTCAGGGCGCCAACGTCCCACCCCGAGTCCTGACACCAGGGCTGCCTTCAATCGGCAAGCCCATCTCCCGCTGGTTACCAGCGGACTCCACCCCGGACGACAAATCACAGTCAGACCCAACGTGTCTCCCCACCCTTGGACTGCGGCTCCTTCCCACCGGCGGACCTGGGGGTGGGCCCAGACCCAGGCTGGGGGTGGGGGGTTGGGGAGAAGGCGGGTCCCAGCGGAAACTCCCGGCCGCGCCTTCCCGAGCCATGCGCTCGGGCCGAGACCCAGCCGCCTTCGCCGCGGAGAAGTGGGAGGCCGCGTTACCAGGGCAATGCCTGGAGGGCCGAGGGGTGCGATCAGGGAGGGGCTTCAAGGGGGCCAGGGGCGCGTGTCGGAGGGAGGGGGCGCCCGCAGGGAGGGGCTGACACAGGGCTCACTCCGATTTAGGGAGAGCCTGCCACTTCTCCATCAACAGATCTCCCGTCACTGCAGTTCCACGGCCTAGCTCGCGCCCACGGACCCACTCACAATTCCTTGATCAGCACCATCTTCCCGGAACCCCTTCACAGCTGCCGCTGCCACCGCCGCCGCCGCCGCCGCTACCGCCTCTCACAGCGCCTGCGCGGCCCCGCCTCCCTGCCTCCGTACCACCTCCGCGCCTGCGCACCTACATCCTTCCGCCGCGACCAGTCGCGTCAGCGCGCGAGGGGGCCTAGCTCCGCCCAGTTCCGTGCCCCACCCCGGGCACACGAGGCCTCCACTGCGGTTGCGCGGCCGGTTTAAGAGCGTTCGGCTTCTACTGCGGTTGCGCAAATTCGGCGCGCGCACTCCTGTCTGCTTACGAGGGCGCCTCCCTCCTGCTTTGGTCCCTTTGGGCGTCTGGGCAGCCTACGCTTTCCGGTGAGTTTTCCAGTTGGTTTTTTGGAAGCCGGTTTGCGGTCACCAGTTTTCAGCTCTCTCTCACTGCTCTGTGGAAGGGCCCACTTCCTTGACCGACACCTGAAAGACTCTTGACAGGTTCTGGAGGTCGCCGACGCCGGCTTCTGTTCCCCTCCCCAGCCCTTGGCAGCTTAGGTTCCGCGGGAGGGTGTTCACCTGCTTCGCGGTCTCGTGGAGGTCCACCGCGGCGGAGAATCTTGAACCTCACCTGTGACTCGGCAGGATGAGCGGCCAACACTCCCGACGAAGGCCCTCTGGGGAAATGAGGCGCTTGGCCTCCAGACCCGGGGAAGGAGGCTGATGCTGGGAGTACGTTCTCACAGTTGCAGCGAATCCGCCTTGGGTCTCAAAGCCGCAGCCCAGCGGTGGTCGCTGGCTTGCTCTGTGCCAGAAGCGGTTCTAAGCATTGGGGACGCACTTAGAAGCAGATACAGTCCCTGTTTTCAAGAAGTTCACAGCCTAGAGGAGATAACTCAGTTGGAAAGAAGGCCGGGAGAATTTGGGGAGGTGGGGAAGTTCTATGCTTTGAACACAGTGGAGTACTGGGGGAGGCAGAGGACTCCCGGCCATGGCTGCCTTAGGAGTCGTTCTTTGAGCCTGGCCTGTTAGAATGTAAGAGGGGCATGCTAGTTAGAGGGAAATCGGGCCCGAGGATGGGATAAACTTACGGTATTGAAGGATCAGTCAGACGCCAGATGTGGCCAGAACATTCTAAGTGAGGGGGGAAAATCAGCTGGGACCAACTAGATCACTAGGCCATTGTAAGGAATTTGTATTCTAAGAACCATGAGTACCTGTTGAAAGGCTATTAAGATCAAAATATCATGAAAACATTTCTGTATAAACGTCAGGTGTATCTGATAATGGAATACATGTGTGGAGTTAGGGCTGCCTCAAAAAAAGTAATGGAAATGAAGTGACTAATGATTCGGTGACTCCCAGGAACTGCCTCAGGAGAAAGTTTCTGGAATCTCAAAACTCCCAGAAACTTTCTTCTTAAGCCAGTCCCTGGGAGTCACCGAGTTTTTGTTATGTGTGAATTGTGCTAGGTATTGTGAGGGCGGGGATTTAAGGAAATGCATGCTCTTTCTTGCAAGAGTTGAGAAGCTAGGGACCTGCTTTGTTGATTGGATATTGGATTTTATGCCAAGTACTGTGCTAAGTAATGGAGATACTTTATCTCATTTCACCCTTAGAACAACATTATGAAACATATTTTAGCATGCTTTACAAGGGAGAATAAAATGAAATTCAGGGAGCCGTGTTAAGTGACTTGTACTAGCTTGTTTGCAGAACCAGGTTTTCAAATCCAGATTTTAAAATCCATTCATTACACTAATATCGTAGAAGAAAGTTAAGTTGGGGCGTGCAGACCATCTTTATGACAAATAATTTTTCTCAATTATGGAAAGAAGACTAAATCTGGAAGATATTTAGAGAAATTAAGGGGTTGAATACTGTAAATCTGTGTGCTTAGAGTTAGACGATGTTCTTTAACGTCTGAGGAGACAGCATTAATTGCCAATTTTGGCCGGGCGTGGTGACTCACACCTGTAATCCCAGCACTTTGGGAGGCTGAGGCGAGCGGATCACCTGAGGTCAGGAGTTCGAGACCAACATGGTGAAACCTCGTCTCTACTAAAAATACAAAAACTAGCTGGGCGTAGTGGCACGTGCCTGTAACCCCAGCTACTCGGGAGGCTGAGGCAGGAGAATCGCTTGAACCTGGGAGGCGGAGGTTGCAGTAAGCCGAGATCATGACACTGCACTTCAGCCTAGGCAACAAGAGCGATACTCCATCTAAAAAAAAAAAAAAAAAAAAAAAGCCAAATTTATGTGGTAAGGAGTCATTTTATGTTCCAATCTCTCCCCACGTGTTATGCTTGTTGAAAATATAACTTTTTAAACATTCTAGATAAATTATGGTTGATATGCTTTATCACTAAGAAAAATGAGGACGTGGCCGGGCGCGGTGGCTCAAGCCTGTAATCCCAGCACTTTGGGAGGCCGAGGCGGGTGGATCACGAGGTCAAGAGATTGAGACCATCCTGGTCAACACGGTGAAACCCCGTCTCTACTAAAAATACAAAAAATTAGCTGGGCATGGTGGTGCGTGCCTGTAATCCCAGCTACTCAGGAGGCTGAGGCAGGAGAATTGCCTGAACCCAGGAGGCGGAGGTTGCGGTGAGCCGAGATCGCACCATTGCACTCCAGCCTGGGTAACAAGAGCAAAACTCCGTCCCGAAGAAAAAAAAAAAAAAAGAAAAAGAAAAATGAGGACGTTTTACATCATTTCTCTAATTTTTGAAGCCTCCTGCAACTGTTCACTAGTTCTTTTGTCTGCATAACAGAATTCCTGCTCATAAATAGTAGCCAGATGTTTGTGAAATAAATGAGGCAGTATGCTGGATGGAGCATGCCTCCAAACCAAGTGTACAGTATAGATAGTGCCTCCCTTTTATTGTTTAAAAAAATTATTTGATGATACTCTTCAAGTATAGTAAGTCAGACTTTATTCAGCATCTTCGAGATAAGTATAGGGACCACTGTAATGGGATTTTGTAGTTGGGGAAAGATTGTGCTCAACTCTCAACACAGCATGGGCAAGTGAGAATTTATAGCCAAAGACCTATAAGGGGGTAGGGCAATCAGAGGGTGGAAAATTATTAAGAGGATACATCGGGGATGAGGGAGATTCTGGAAGCAACATAATTCTTGCTGAAGACGTGATCAGACTGGTGGAGAATGAAGAGCAAGGATTGGGGAGGTTCTTGTTAAAACTAGATTTTACAACTTGCACGGATAAGCCTAGGCTTGACTGAAGTTTGGTCAGGCAGTGTATCTGTCACAATCAAAAGATTCATATTAAAAGAATCAATTGAGAAACAAGGATAGATTGAGAAAGTAACCAGTTTAGATGTATTTGATGACGGAAAGATTAGCTAGGTCACTGGAAAACATGAAATCTGTATATCAAAATAATCCTACATTACATCTACTTAAAGGATAAAAATGGCAGAATGAAAGAATTATGAGTGGGACTAGAAAATAGGAAAGACACGAACCAACACCTCAAATGAGAAAGAAGGATATATAAAGAAAAAGACAAATACATGTGAAAAAAACAGACTAATGGATTAACATCTCTGTTGTGTGACATTATCTGTGACAGCTGAAGATGTTGAACCCTGTGATGCATTTTTGCAAATGTGTATAAAGTAGAATATAACTTTGGCCAGTAATTGTCCATAGATTCAAAAAGGAGCCAACCTTTTTGTTTGTAGTGTGATGTTCCTTGTTCCCTCAAAGGTAACCTTTACACAGAAGATGTTCAGTTAAACTAATTCTACCAGTGTCATATGTCTACCAATCTCATTACTTTCCTTCTATAGTAAAGAGCTCATTACAGTAAGAATGACGGTAAATTTTACCAAGGCAAAGATTTCTGAACACGGGCCGTGTGTATGAAACGCTTATGCACTAGTTTATAGCTCAGCTCTGGTCAAAGAAATTTGAATGGTCATTTAAACATTATAATTTAATTTAGCCCCTAAAGTAGCTGCTCTCAACCTGTAATCTGAAGAAAGGCCTGTAGATGGGACTCCCAGGGAATTTGTGAACTAAAATTATATACATAATTTCATGTCTGTGTACAATTATCTCCTTTTTTTTTTTATTTTATTTTTTTTTTGAGACGGAGTTCTCTCTTACTGTCCAGCAGGAGTGCAGTGGTGCCATCTCGGCTTACTGCAGGCTCACCGCAACCTCCGCCTCCCAGGTTCAATCAATTCTCCTGCTTCAGCCTCCTGAGTAGCTGAGATTACAGGCACCTGCCACCACACCCAGTTAATATTATTTTGTATAGTAGAGACAGGATTTTACTGTGTTGGTCAGGCTGGTCTCCAATGCCTGGCCTCAGGTGATACACCCCCCTCAATCTCCCAAAGTGTTGGGATTACAGGCACAAGCCACCTCCCTCAGCCCATGTGTACCTTTATCTAGGGGAGAGGTTTGTAGCTTTCATTTGCCTTGCTTTCTCTGCATTTTGCCATTCCATTTCTTTTTATCTTCTGCCCATTCCAGAATGATCTTGATGATATTTGAATGAAAACTAGAAATATTCCCAAGAATGCTTTAATTTTGTTAAATATCAGGGCTTAGGTCATAATATTGTGTCACTCTGGGATAGACAGGGTTAGGCGTTGGAGTAGAAAGACCTTCTTAGCCCGAATCCTGGCTCTCCCACTTACTGTTCTGAACCTTGAGAAAATGACTTAATCTCTTAGAGATTCAGTTTACACTGAAACTCAATTTTACACATCTGGAAAAAAGAGGACTATTAATATCTGCAACAGATTTAAGAACTAAAAAATAGGAAGTATATGAAGCACCTATGTTATGTACTTTACTAGATACATAAGTGTTCAGTGAATGGGAGTCATTTAAAAGCTTCCAAAAAGCAGGAACAGTAATTTAAGGTATCCCTGGAGTAACCACTATGTTAATCATTATTTGTTACTCTGATATATGCATAAGAATGTATAGGTGCATCCATGCATTTATACATATTGGCCATAATTACCTTTTCTCTTGTGTATAATGCAGATTCTTGTTCTTCTGTGCCATCACCAACATTTAATACTGTCAGAATTTTTATTTTTTGTCACTTTATTGGTTTTAAAACTGTCTTTGTGTTCACTTTGCACTCCTTGCAGGATAAGGATGTTTTTGTTTTTTTGGTCATAGTCTTATTCTTCCTTTTTCCTATTAGTCATGTTTTTTTCTTTTTGATTTGCAGGATATATTAGGTTGGTGCAAAAGTAATTTCACTTTTTTGCATCATTGAAATTTGTCATTTGATACTGGAATACCTTCTTAAATATGGTTATGTTATACATCATTTTAATGCACGTTTCTCACTTTTTTTTTTTTGCTAATGACTTATTACTTGCTGTTTATATTTATTTTAGACTATGGAAATGACATTAGACAAAAAGCAACTTGAAGCGATTTTCTTATTTGAGTTCAAAATAGGTCATAAAGCAGCAGAGGCAACTCGAAACAGCAGCGCATTTGGCCCAGAAACTACTAATGAGCATACAGGGCAGTGGTGATTCAAGAAGTTTTGCAAAGGAGACGAGAGCCTTGAATATGAGGAACACAGTGGCGAGCCTTTGGAAGTTGACAATGCAGTCGTTGAGGCTGTGATCCTCTTAGAATTACACAGGCAGTTGCCTAAGAAATCAAAGTCAACCATTCTGTGTTTGGCATTTGAAGAAAATTGGAAAGGTGAGAAACAGCAACAAACCATTTCTCAATCAGATTGTGACATGCAACAAAAAGTGGATTTTATATGACAGCCAGTGATGACCAGCTCAGTGGTTGGACTGAGAAACTCCAAAGCATTTCCCAAAGCCAAACTTGCACCCCAGAGAAAGGTTATGATCACTCATTGGTGGTATGCTGCTGGTCTGATCCACTACAGCTTTCTGAATCTGGGTGGAACCATTACATAAGAGAAGTACCCTCAGCAAATCTGTGAGGTTTGCCAAAAAATGCAACACCTGCAGCTGGCAGTTGGTCCACAGAAAGGGCCCAATTCTTTGAGAGACATCACCCAGGCTGGAGTGCAGTGGCTCAGTTTCAGCTCTCTGCAACCTCCACCTCCCAGGTTCAAGCAATTCTCCTACCTCACCCTCCCAAGTAGATCGGATTACAAGCACCTGCCACCACCCCAGGCTAATTTTTGTATTTTTAATAGAGACAGGGTTTCACCATGTTGGCCAGGCTGGTCTCAAACTCCTGACTTCAAGTGATTCACCCACCTGAGCCTCCCAAAGTGTTTGGATTACAGGCGTGAGCCACTGCACCTGGCAGGTCCCAATTCTCCATGACAGTGCCCAGCTGCAGGTTGTACAACCAGTGCTTCAGGAGTCGAAGGAATTGGTCTATGAGATTTTGCCTCTACCAGATTCGCCTGACTTCTTGCCAACCAACTACCACTTCTTCAAGCATCTTGATGGTTTTTTTGTAGGTGAAACGCTTCCACACCAGCAGGGTGCAGAAAATGCTTTCCAAGAGTTCGTTGAATCCTGAAGCACAGATTTTTATGCTACAGGAATAAACAAATTTCTCGGCAAAAATGTGTTGATTGTAATGGTTCCTATTTTGATTAATAAAGATGTGTTTGTGCCTAGTTATAATGATTTAAAATTAATGGTCTGAGAACGCAATTACTTTTGCACCACCACCAACAGACACACCCCCACACATTCCGGATTTGAATTCTGTGTTGATTACGTGCACTTGGAATATTTCCTTTACATCTGTGGATTGTTGTGTTGCTTTTATTTTTTTTTAATAAATGGGTTTCTAAACTTCTGCTGTATTGACATTTTGGGTCAGATTCTTTGTGTAGAGGCTGTTCTATGCCTTATAGAATGTTTAGCATCATCTCTGGCCACTGTTGGCTAGGTACCAGTAGTACCCGTCCAGTCATGGCAATCAGGAATGTTTTCAGATATTGCCCAGTTTCCCCTGGTTGGGGGACGGTGTACAATTGCCCTTAGTTGAGAACCACTCATCATAGTGACTTTGTTGTGCAATTATCCTACATTTGTTTTATTGTATGCCAGACAAGCCTTAAGTGTTTCATATGAACTAATCCTAACTCATTTACTCATCACATGATGTAGATATTACGTCCCTATTTTAAAGAGGAGAAATCTTTTGTCCTCTAATATGCAGAAGCTGCTAACTTTACCAGACTATAACTGATGTATAAAATGCACCTATATTTAGAGTCCAGTTGTAGAGTTTTCTCAAAGGTATACTCATTCTTCTCTAGAGTTTCATATTTATCACATAGTACTTTTTCTTGTAGCATAATGGTTCTGAGATTTATGAATGTGTATCATTCAGTCCTTTTCATTGCTCAGTGGCATTCCTTTGTGTGGACATAACCAGAAATTGATTATCCATTTACCTATTGATGAATTTTTTTTCTTCTATATAGTTTTGATCATGATAAGTTTGCTATGACTAGATGTACATAAGTCTTTGTGGATATGTTTTCGTTTCTCTTGGATTATGATGTAAGTATGTTTAACTCTGGGACAAATGGCCAAACAATGTACAAAGTGGTGGTGCCATTTTACATTCCCAGCAACAGTATAAGAATCCAGTTACTCCACATCCTCCTCAACTTGTTTTAGCCACTCTAGCAGAAATGTGGTATCGCATTGTAGTAAACTTGCAGTTCTCTGAAAACTGATGATGATGAGCGCTTTTTCATGTGCTTATTGGTCATTTGTTCATCTTTCATCAAGTGACTGTTCAACTCTTGCCCGTTTTCAAATTGTTCTTTTTCTATTTTTGAGTTGGAAGAGTTAGTTACTAGAATATCCTACACATAAGTTTACAAGTAATTTCTCCCAGTCAGCTACTTGCTTTTTCATTTTAGTGATATATTTCAAACAGCAGAAATTTTAAGTTCTGATGAAGTCTAGTTTTTCATTTATGGTTCATGTTTCTTGTGTTCTCCCTGAGAAACCTTTGCCTAACTCAGAGGCACAAAGATTTTTATTTTACTATGTTTTCTTCCAGAAGGTTTAAAGTTGTGGCTCTCACATTTAGGTCTGAGTCACTTTAGATAAGTTTTGGTGTATATGTGAGATAAAAATTTCAATTTTTTTTTTTTTTTTTTGCATATGTATATCCAGTTGTAGCCCTGGTTATTAAAAAGACATTTCCTTTACTCATTTGTTGAAAATCAGTTGACTATGTATGCGGGACTGTTTCAGGAAGGTGTTCTATTCCATTCATCAATATGTTTAATACCACACTGCTTTGATTACCATAGCTATATAGTAAGTCTTGAAATCAAGTGGTTTATTTCCTCTAGTTTCTACATTTTTTCTTTTTTTTTTCCTAGTTTATAAAAATGTTATGTTTTTCTTTTTTTTAATCGCATTTTAGGTTTTTTACATTTTCAAAATCGTTTTGGTTCTCCTAAGATTTCATTTCATTAATTTGTTTAAAAAAGAAGCCTGGTGGAATTTTTATGGGACTTTCAGTCAATCTATAGAACAATTAGGAAGAACGGACATCTTAACAATATTGAATCTTTGTAAATGATGTATCTCTTCATTTATTTACATCTTCAGTGTTTCTTGGCTCTCAGCAGCATTTTGTAGCTTACAGGTTTTGCAAATATTTTGCTTCATTCTTAAGTATTGTGTGTGTGTGTTTTAAAACCATTGTATTTTTAATTTTTCAAGTATTGATAATATATAAAGATAGACTTGATTCCTGTTTATTCTCCTTGCTGGACTCATTAGTTATAGGAGTGTT